GCCTGGGATCGAACCCAGGACCACAGGATCACAAGCCCAGCGTGCTGTCCGCTCGGCCGACCGGCTCCCCGGTCGCTGCTAGTAGTGTTGCAAAGTCCCTTCTCTTGACAGTTGGATAGCTATTAGTCTTTTTCTCATGACTATCGCCCTCCGACCCGTCCTCCTAATGGAGCGTCGTATTTTGACACATACTTTGCCTATGGCCAAAAATCGTTGTACTAGAAAATGGTAGCGGCTTGTGAAATTGACATACTGTCCCGTTGTCTGTTTTGGGTTCTGCATTTTAGGTTAGGATAGGGGACGTTAGTACAGCGATTTCTTGACGTTTCTTATGTATACATTGAGTGGTATACAAGTTAAGGACACTGCCTAGTAGGTCAATGCTTTCTGACTGTCATCCCTTTTGTATATTGGGACTACATTTGCTGTCTTCCAACTTTAAGTTTTCTGTTTCTAGTGACCTATTATATACTATAAAGAGTGGTATGCATAGTGCTTCTGCTCCCTCCTTTAGTATCCATGGTGAGATTATTTCTGGTTCAACTGACTGTGTTGTGACCAGTTTCAGCAGATGCCTTCTAACCTCAGCTCTGGTAATCTCTCATTCTTGCAAAGCTGCTTGGCTTACCGCAACGTCTCTCAGTTTATACACCTCTCCTTGCTCTGTTGAGCAGACCAGGGGCCAGATTCACGAAGCAGTTACGCAAGCACTACGAACCTGTACATCTTTTCTCAGTCTTTGGCGGTTTTGTTTCCAATTATTAAACAGTTAATGAGCTCCGAAGCACCAGGAGGATGTTTATAACAATAACAACAGTTGATTGGCAAGTTTTCATGCTTGTAAACTGTTTAATAAATGTAAACAAAGCCGCCAAAGATTGAGGAAAGATGTACACGTTCGTAAATGCGTGCGTAACTGCTTCGTGAATCTGGCCTCTGAACTTGTTGAGTTCAACAAGTTCCTCCTTAAACTTTCCCCTTATTCTTCTTGGGCTATACAAGGCCCTGCTGTGATGTGTCCAGGGTTGACTGATTCTGGTGAAGATTAAGCCACCACAAGAGATGGCACGGGCATGAGTAGCCCCCGTAGGTGGTATAGAGGTTTGGAGTGAATATGATCTTTGGTCGTGTAACATCTTGAAGTGTGTGTCTGGGCCTCGTATGTCCAAGGGCCTAAACAAGGGTATTTAGTGGTGTAGTGTAACTTTCGAACTGTATTCTACTACCCCCACCTTTCCCATACATTTCCAAATTACATATTTGTTTATATTTTTGACAATTTATGAGTAATTGATGCTCGCTCCCAGCGAGCATAAGAAATATTGCCGGAACAACTGTGGACATCTTCAAGAGGAAACTAGATTTATTCCTCCAAGGAGTGCCGGACTAACCGGGCTGTGGTGGGTATGTGGGCCTGCGGGCCGCTCCAAGCAACAGCCTAGTGGACCAAACTCTCACAAGTCAAGTAGAAGAAGTAGGGAGTAGAAGAACTCCCAGGACCCCATCAACCAGGTATCAACCAGCACATTTTATGGGAGTGTAGAGGAGAGTTGGTGTAGGGGTGAGAGTGGTCATGGAGGAGGGAGGACGCGGGCTGCAGGGAATGTATCAGTGGCTAATGCACTCCGGCCGCCACACACCGTTGGTGATTACCTTACTGGTGAGTGGCCGGTGGGGGGGTGCTGGGGGCCTAGATAGAGCCGACTGGTGAAGCAGTGGAAGGGGAGGGGGGGCAGAAGTGTGGGAGGGTAAAGGAAAAGTAAGGGAAGGAGGGAGGGGTGGATGACTTGTGAGAGTTTGGTCCACCAGGTTTGGTCCACCACCGCTTGGAGCGGCCCGCAGGCCCACATACCCACCACAGCCCTGGAAACACACACCGAAACTGTCTCTATTTTCCGCTTGTTACAACTTGTAATAAAGTTGGTACATCTTGGCTTAACGTGTTTATGACGTATTAAAACGTTGTTACAACTTGCTATATTGGTTGTTATAACTGGTTAGGAGGTGTTAAAACTTGTTCGAACGTTGTACCAACGTCGTAGTTTCGGTGTGTGTTTGGCGGGAGCCCGGTTCGTCCGACACTTCTTGGAGAAAACAATCTAGTTTTCTCTTGAAGATGTCCACGGTTGTTCCGGCAATATTTCATATACTCGGTGGGAGGATGTTGAATAACCGTGGCATCAGGGTGAAAGCATCTCTGCCCATTTGTTTCCGCCTCCACCGGGGATCGAACCCGGAACTTCAGGACAACGAATCCCAAGTGCTGTCCACTAACGCTCGTCACGGCCATTGTGGATTTGTCCATGTATACAAGTCTGTATTCGTTATCGAGACGTGTCACTACTTCGTTATCGAGACGTGTCACTACTTCGTTATCGAGACGTGTCACTACTTCGTTATCGAGACGTGTCACTACTTCGTTATCGAGACGTGTCACTACTTCGTTATCGAGACGTGTCACTACTTCGTTATCGAGACGTGTCACTACTTCGTTATCGAGACGTGTCATTACTTCGTTATCGAGACGTGTCACTACTTCGTTATCGAGACGTGTCACTACTTCGTTATCGAGACGTGTCACTACTTCGTTATCGAGACGTGTCACTACTTCGTTATCGAGACGTGTCACTACTTCGTTATCGAGACGTGTCACTACTTCGTTATCGAGACGTGTCACTACTTCGTTATCGAGACGTGTCACTACTTCGTTATCGAGACGTGTCACTACTTCGTTATCGAGACGTGTCACTACTTCGTTATCGAGGCGTGTCACTACTTCGTTATCGAGGCGTGTCACCACCTCGTTATCGAGGCGTGTCACCACCTCGTTATCGAGGCGTGTCACCACCTCGTTATCGAGGCGTGTCACCACCTTGTTATCGAGACGTGTCACCACCTTGTTATCGAGGCGTGTCACCACCTCGTTATCGAGGCGTGTCACCACCTTGTTATCGAGGCGTGTCACCACCCTGTTATCGAGGCGTGTCACCACCTTGTTATCGAGGCGTGTCACCACCTCGTTATCGAGGCGTGTCACCACCTTGTTATCGAGGCGTGTCACCACCCTGTTATCGAGGCGTGTCACCACCCTGTTATCCAGACGTGTCACTCCCTTGTTATCCAGACGTGTCACTCCCTTGTTATCCAGACGTGTCATTACTTCGTTGTCTACACATTGCCCCCCGCCCCCCTCTTCCTCCTGCCCATCCCCCAGCTCCTTACCAACCTTCCTATTCCTCTTTCATCTTCCATCCATCCATCCATCCATCCATCCTCTCCTTCCCGTCCCACCCTCGTAACGTGCCGCCCCCTTGGTGCCCTGGACGCCGTGGCTCTTCCTCTAGCTATTCCCCTCAGGTGTGTGTCCTAATGATCTCTCCCTTGCCTGTAATCTTGATGTATGGCTTTGCCGCGCCCTCACCACATATATCCCGCCATGACACCCCCCCCCCCCTTGTGGGAAAGGGGGGGGGGTTCTCGAGGGGTGGGTGGAGGGCAGGAGGGAGTGGGACAGGAGGGGGGTGGGAGGGAAGGAAAGGTGGATTAGAATTTTCAGTGTTATTGTTTGTACTCTCTCTAGGGTACCTGATGCTTATTGCGCTTTTGTTTTGCTGTAAATTCTACGCTTTACTCCCTCAAGAGTGCTTGTGTTGGACATGAACCCCAAATTAACAGGTTATCGGCTGTTTATATATATTTCAGTACCATCTATTAAGCTACTCGTGTCGTGAGCCATAATGCCTTGCGTCAGACCCTGCCCAGAAAACTTAATATTGCTTGGCCCCTTTATAAATAGTCAGCGTGTTGCACTATATTGTTGAGTGTAATGTGTTGCTGGCTGCCAGGTGTAGGCGCTAGGTCTCACAGTGCCAGGTGTAGGCGCTAGGTCTCAGTGCCAGGTGTAGGCGCTAGGTCTCACAGTGCCAGGTGTAGGCGCTAGGTCTCAGTGCCAGGTGTAGACACTAGGTCTCAATGTCAAGTGTAGGCGCTAGGTCTCGGTGCCAAGTGTAGGCGCTAGGTCTCAATGCCAGGTGTAGGCACTAGGTCTCAGTGCCAGGTGTGGGCATTATAGGTGCCAGATAGGTCCCTTCCGAACGCCATGGGAGTACAATAAAACTTTGGGTCATGGCCTCCTATCATGAGGCCAGGCCTCATGATAGGATGTTATCCAGAATCTTGTATATCACGTATGTCGCACCAGTCCTGGAGTATACCGTTCCAGCATACTCCATGTCTAATCAAACACGAGACGAACTTGGAGAAAGTTCAGACGTATGCCACCAGGTTCCTCCTAAAACTAAGAGGTACAAGTTAAGAGGAATGAATATATATAAACCTCACGTGGCTCGAAGACGGAAGACTTAGGAGACATGATTACTACACACAAGGGAGGACAGGTGGAAACTGAGAGTACCCAAATGAACCGTAGAGACATTACACAAGAAATAAAACGGCAGAAAACCTATTGGCCTATACACAGTTTCAAACGTATGATAGAACCCAATAGGCTCAAGATCCCTTAAAGACCCCGAAGCGCAATTCTCGCCAGCACAATAGGTGAATAGACAGACGACATATCGTTTGGTGGGGAGGGTGCCACCGGTCCACTGGGGTCAGTGTGTGGCAGCCGTGGGAGGACGGTCCTTGTTATGAATGGCGGAGTTGGTGAGGGAAAACGGGCATGGGAGGGGAGAGGAGGGCAGCCTGTTACCTTGGTTTATGGCTCCCATAGGAGAATCTTCGTTTTTTTTATGACAATTGGGTCACCTCTCCCACGTGGGAGGGTGTCGGGAAATCCTGGAGCAGTGTCATCGGGATTCATGACACTGACGCAACTCTTGTTGACAGTTAAAAATAGTTTTAACTGTTTTATGCTTTGTTTTGTCGTACACTTAGTTATTTAAACGCGTATTTGGAAGCTTACTTTACCATGTATTTTATTTGTAAGATTACTTTTTCATATATATAAATGTGGAGTCATTTATTAAAACATTTAACAGTTTGTTTATTTTCAGTGATGTGGACGCAGAATCTGGTCTCATCCCTGGCAATTCTGGAAGTTCTTCCAGTTCAAGTCTTTCACACGGGTAAGTAATGATTTCCTCAGTCAAGTTTGTTTATAAATGGGAAGGGAGTGCAGGTCACAGGCACAACCTCCTTCACTCCTTCCACCAGAATGATTCCTATAACAGTTCTGTAAGTAGCTTCCCCCCCCCCCCTTTAAAAAAAAAGTATCTTCAAAATTTCAGTTTCTCTTTACCATTGGTGGCACATTACAACCCAGGCCCCTAAACTTCATCCTAAATGGGAATACATATACATACATACTTCCCCCTTTGCCTCTTCATACTGTACTCACCCTTTGCCTCTGAAGATGTTGAAGAAAGCTTAAGCTAATTACACCCTTTAGCAGCATGCATCACACTGGATAAAATTCTACAGTTTACTTTAGAGAAATATTCATTTTGCACCCCTAGTGAAGAAAAACAACAATTATAGAGAAGGCTTCTGCTAAAATCATTGATATGTCTTGGTCATATTCAATAATGCATTTCTATGAGAAAGATGTATGTATGTATGTACCTAATAGGCCAAGTTGCCTACCAAGCCGAATTTTCCTGAAATTATGTACACGTATACTGTGTTTTGAATTTTTTCTTGTGGAATGATTAAACTTTCCATGACATTTTATTTTATGTGAATTTTTAAGTTTAATTTGTTATTAATTTAGTTTATTTTTTAATTACTGGTACTTTTAGTTTTTAATGCTGGTTCTGCAGGAGTTGGCAGACAACGCCTGTAATGAAACCAATACTATACAGTATATATTAATTTAATTTAACCCTAAACAGTTTGTAGGAAAAGACTGTTTTTAACTGAGAGTACGCCTACTGTTTGTTGTTGTTTTTTAGATTTAGCTACTGAGAACAAAGTGTCCATGTAGCACGGGCTATGGTGAGCCCGTAAGTCTTACTGTACTATGCAAATATAATTGCATTTTACCCATGCTAAGTTCTTGTATGATATTATAATTAATATGGGCTAATTCCCTTAAGATTTAGAAACATTTTGAGAATAATAATAGGGGCATAGTCATATTTATAGTCATACTGTAATAACATGAGCAAATTTCATGAGAGTTTACTAGTTCTAGTTTGCATTGTGGAATGCAGTACTGTATTATGTGATTCAGGATTTGAATTTATTGTTTAGCACACTGCATGATGTATAATTAACAAACAACTGTTTCCTCTAATTTTTGTCATTTTACAGCCTGGATAGTCCGAGCACCTCCTTTGAACAAGTTTCTCGGACAGATGCACCTTTGCCTGCTCCGGTCCTCGAAAATGACTCTGACATTGAGGCTGAGGTGGATCTTCCAAACTGGCAAAAACTAGTCTCTGATGAAGAAATTAAGAAGCTCAAACCTAAAGAGCGCAAACGGCAAGACACCATAAATGGTACGCAGTGATGATACGCATGGCGAAATATTGATCACCATACAGTATTTTAATATTTGCATTTTTCTTTGAAATTTATGGATTAGATTATCACTTTTGGGCTTAAAAAAAATCAGTACTAAGTATTTTTATCAGTAAAAAAAATCAATGTTTTTATTACTCGGAGCTTAATGGCTTACAGGGAATGTCCCATTCATTTTGTGTGCAGAGTACTTTTGGCGTTTGCCTCCATAATGGAGACTAAAATATAAAACGAAAAATTTATAATATTTTAACATGGTTGTGCAAACAAAGGTATATAGATGTTCAGATACAAAAGATAATGAGAAAGCTGATTGAAGTGAAAGAACAGAGAAAGGCAACTATTGATTACTTAAATTTGGTTTTTTAATTACAATTACAGTACCGTATTGTGCAATATATTTTCAGAATTGTTCCACACTGAACGGACGCATGTGCGGGTCTTAAAAGTTTTAAAACACCTGTTTCAAGTGCCCATGACAGAAGCAGAACTACTACCAAAAGATCAGTTGGACATTCTTTTCCCCAATATGGATCAAATGTTGGACATTCACACAGTGTTCAATCAGGCGATGAAGAAGAGGAGACTGGAAGAACCACTCGTTCTTAGAGTGGGAGATCTTCTAATAGATATGGTAAGTATAAGATTTTGTTTAATGTTCATACTAGTTAATAATGTTAATATTAGTTTTTGGGCATGTTCAAATGTTTTATGTATTTTTTCAACATTGTTACAAATATTTAATGAAATTAAGTGAATTTTGAGTGTTAAAATGCAGTGTTGTGCAAAATTAAGGCAAGTAGTGGTGTTTTTTTTTATGCGAGAGAGAACATGGCAAATTTGTTAAACACTTTATTACTTGTATCAAATATATAAAATGTATTTGATACATTTTAAAGTTACAATTTAATTGAAGATGTGGCAACACCCGCACATTGAAACATTTCTGAATCAGTTTGCTGCATATAATAAATTATTATTATTACACATTATTATTATATTATACATAATTATGCATGAATAATTATGCATGATTAGTAGTAATCAACAGAAAAGTAGTGATTAGTAGTAATAAATAACAGAAGAATATGAGCAATGAGTGAAAATACGAGCAAAAGGCATTAGGAAAATACTACAAGACATCACTAAGTAATAGATATTACTTACATGAATGAGTTTAAGGACATAATGATTACAAATAAATGTTACTCGGATCACAACCAAATTGAAGTTCAGACATGCATGAGCAGTATACCTGTGCAACCAGTCTTAAATCCAAGATGAGGAAAATTCAGCTTTTTTAATTTCAATAACAAACAGATAAACTGGGAGCAAATAAACCAAGCCATCACAGAAATATGCTGGGAAAGATGGCTAGATAATGCAAACTTAAACCAGTGCTTTCAGAAAAAAGTAAATAATTTCTTGTTTAAGTATAAGAGATTTCTAAATAAATAGCTCTGAAGTATGTCTGGAGTGGGTTCTGGGAGGTGTTCTACTCCCCATGGTCCAACCTGGGGCAAGAATGTAAGGGGAGAAAAGTCAGGATACCATGTTGCCACCATGTTACCAATATGGTATCTTGTTGGTATGATACCTGTGATACCAACATGGTACTGGAATTATCTGGTGGTGATTAGGATAGTGATTTGATGGGCCAACTAGTAATTAACAAGGGTGCTTCTTAGCAGTTTATTTCATGTCAAGTTGTGCTTGAAAGATCTTTTGAGTGTATTTGAATAAGTCGTCTAGAGGTTATTACGGGTTTTATTGAATTTTCCGGTGCTGCCCCCTGACACCAGTATGACCCCCACACCGAGGTGTTTGAAAAGATCCCTCTTGCATGTGTGGTATATAGACTTGCCCCAACTCTGCATAGACTTTTCTATGGAAAAGACTGTATACGTATTTGGGAGGAATTGAGTGGTAGAGCACAGAAATCACATACTCTATAGCAAATTATCTTTTGTGGTTGGATTCAATTATTTATTGAATAATTATTAGCAATTAGATGGATTATGAACCTCTGGTGACAACAATTTTTTTTTCACAGTTTGATGGTGATAAAGGAGATTATTTCCAGCAACAAGCTGCAGAATTTGTTAGAACGCAATTTTTAGCATTGGAAAATCTTAAACAGCGCCAAAAACGAGACCAGAGATTATCAGCATTTCTCCAGGAGCAAGAAAACAACCCAGCATGTCGGAGACTTCAGCTCAAAGACATGTTACCTGCAATTTTTCAAAGATTATCAAAGGTCAGTGTTAGTCCTGTATTGAGAAGGAAAGCATATATAGTACTGTACAGTATTGTATTTGTATTTCAAAAAATAGTTCTTGTATTTATTAGAAATGTTTCCAAAATTTTAATGACGATTAATTGACAGCACTAATAAAAATATATTTACAATTTTTGTTGTTCAAGTGGTAAATATTTATTTCACGTTCATAAAATATATTCTGTATCCTGTATCTTAATATTTTTGTCTAAGCCTGCCTGATTCCTTATAAACAAAATGCCATTTTCATGCCACTACTTGAAATAATTAATTATTGTAATTTTATTTTGGTTATATACATTGGCACCTCCAAAATCTGGATTATATTATTCTGGATTCATGTGCAATGCCAGTTTCCAAAAACAATTCCAATTATTTTACTCAAAATGGTTTGTAATCTTATTGCAAATCATACAATGCATGTTGCTGCATATTCAGACACATAATATATAAACAATAATTGTATGTACATATATTATAAATAATATATCTGCTCTAGAAAAATATGTAGGGAGCCGGTCGGCCGAGCGGACAGCACGCTGGACTTGTGATCCTGTGGTCCTGGGTTCGATCCCAGGCGCCAGCGAGAAACAATGGGCAGAGTTTCTTTCACCCCATGCCCCTGTTACCTAGCAGTAAAATAGGTACCTGGGTGTTAGTCAGCTGTCACGGGCTGCTTCCTGGGGGTGGAGGCCTGGTCGAGGACCGGGCCGCGGGGACACTAAAGCCCCGAAATCATCTCAAGATAACCTCAAGATGTAACATTTTGTTTTCAGTTGTATTTTTTATTGCATGGGCGGGTGTTGGTAACCCACTGACAGCGGTATCGTGCAGTTATTATACTGTGCCGTGTAGCATTATACAGTAAACAAACATTTCTATTTCTCACAGTAAATAGACATTGATGTTCCATGTAAATAAGTTTTCAATACAATGTGGGGAAAAATTCTATACTAAAAGATTAGTCCAATCATAACTTCTTTGGATTTCACAAATATTTCAGAATGGTTAAAATCTTGCAAAATTCTAGAATAAAGAATATTGATGAAATTAATTATAATGTTGTAAATACAGTAATAAGCACTTAGCTTATTATTCACTTACATTAGTTGAATCATTTATTTTTGGAGTGGAAGTAGATTAGAGAAAGCTTAATAAAGTAAATTTTCAGTGAGCATGAAATAGCATCCTTCCCCATACTCCGTCTACGTAAAACATAAGCAAGAAACAAGTAACACTTAGTAGGCCAGCTATAGGCTTAAGGCCTGTGCAGGAAAATCTCTGAAAAAAAAAGAGAAATCTTTCCAACAATTACAGGTTGTGGCCTCTATAGATGCACACACCATAGCAGAAACTCCATCTTTATTAACTTTAAAGCTTTGAATAATTTCTTGTAATCCAATTTGCCAGCATTTCTGACAGTACACCTCTCCCAACTAAATTGCTTTAATGTGTATTATACACATGAGAAAAGTTAAATATGTTTTTGAAGAACACAACATGCAATTTTATGTCTTAGTGTTCCCACAGCTACCACATCAGCACTAAGTTTCTTGCCAGAAATCCTTTTCATACCTATATTGTGCCATCTGGTAAACTTTTGCAGCCATCCTGAATCGGTCTTGAAGTCCTCAGGCCAGTTAGCACCATTCATTTAACTGCATACTGTGTCTGGTATCAAACTTGGTCCATTGTTTAGAGGGATCTGTTATGTGGAGATCCCAATTTTGTAGGGACAGCATTTTTTAATATATATATTTATCTTTTGGAAAAGGTAGTGTAAAATAAAATACTAATAGGCTTATAAAATTTGAGCACGAGGGGAAAATGAGAGAATTGTTGTGACCACAAGTTCATTCAGACCTAAATTTGTTTTGTAAGTTATAGTACATTATATATTACAGTATATCCTTGTTGAGTTTAGATATAATAATGTTAAAAAGTACTGTATTATAACACTGTCCTAACATATTAAACTTTAATTTTCAGTACCCTTTGTTCATGGAGTCTTTACTAGCCTATACTGACAGCACTGTGCAACCAGAAGAGTATGACCAAATATCTCGAGCTCTAGAGAGAGCGCGGGAAATTTTAGCATTTGTTAATACAGCAGTACAAGAAGCCGAAAATAGTCAGAGACTAACCGAGATACAGCGGAAACTTGACCAGTCATCCTTAACAAAGAATAAACATGGCCACTCCGATGAATTAAAAGGGGTGAGTACAAAAACAGTGTGTGTTTGTAATGTTGTCTTGTATTCTATGTTCAGAAAGATATACCGTATTACAGAAAGATTATTGATCCACGATTTCTATATATGATATTTGCTTTATATATTTGTGATCACATATCTCTAGACATGATACATTTATGAACTTGGCAAGGGCAATAGAAAAGGAATTTGGAGAGTGATGATCATGTATGGAGTTGGCAGTGTTGTTAAATTCTGTGAAAAGTTTCTTTGCACGTAACAGTGCATGGATAAAAGTTAATGGTGTAACGAGTTACTAGTTTTATATTAATATCAGTGCATATCAGGGTATGCCACCCTAGATATTCAATAAATACACAAATAGGGCATGAGTGAAGTCTAGGTAAGAATTTTCATGAGTGGTTTACATATAGTGTACACACCCAATGTAAGTAATTGGAGTATGTCTGATTTGATGTATGCAGGTGATAAAAGTTCAGCTGAATTCTTTTAGCAGAGTAAAAAAGGACTGTGTAGACTTTTCTTATTTTGTTTAATTGTAAGAAATGACCATTAAAAGTGAATGTGGATTAAAGTAAAATTATGGAGGAGGAAAGTGAAGGGAGTTTTGCATGTGACATGTGAGAGAGAGGGAGTGGTCAGTTTAAATACCTGGGCTATGCATAATTGCTAAAAGAGGTATTGTATTTGTAAAATTCAAGATGAGATTATGGTCAGTCAGTCATGGAAGGAAATTGGCTGGTAAAATAAAGTCCTAGGTAGAAAACATCATGTGGTCTGAAAGTGAAAATTCAAGAGTTAGAGCAGTAGAAATGGACAAGCAGTGAAGAATGCTTGATGTTAGAATAGATTGAAAAAGGAATGAAAATGTTCAAGAATATGTGGATTATTAAAGTCATTAAACTGTTAAATTGAGGAGAACATACTAAGATGGTTTGGTCATGTTGAATTAATGGATAATGGTAGAGTGGTGTAGAGAGTGAAGTATTCAAGTAAATACCATATGAAGGAAGGAGAGGACACATCAGACTTGAAGTAAACTTTTTGCCCTCACTGTGCTACAAAATTTTTGAAATGGTTTTGTCTTTCAGTTGGGGCAGGGAGACAAGGTCTGTATCAGCTCAGTACCCAAGTGACTGCTCACGTTAAAAGAAAAGAACAGGAACAAACCAATTAAGACCTCATGGGAGTGATCATTTATATACATTGAGGTCAAATTAGTATTTTATCTACTGATTAGTATATTACCTGCTATACTAACTACCAGCAGGTGGCAGCACTAACTGCCTCAGTAGGGAACAGAGAAGCTACTTCCACTTGAAGGCCAATAGATTCATGCACTCTTAAAAAATAGAACTTCAAATGTGTTACCAAGAGTAACTGAGGAACAACTCGGAGAATGGCATGTTTTATTCAATGCATTGCTCTTCTTTCTAAGCAGGGGCTTCTCAGTTGCTTCCTGTGCAGACTTACCATTGCACAGCCACTAAGACACCCAAATGGAAAAAATGGGGAACTTACCCAATCAAGCACCACAAACAGGAGCATCGTGGGAAATGAGTCGACCAGCACAGAAAACACGTGTGCCTCACTACCAACATGAGCGAGAGAGAAAAGACTACCTATTGGGTATAGGTGTTCTTTCACCTTAGGGTGTGTAGTATCTTGGTGGTCCATTGTTTTAAATAAAGGAGTGTTAGTCAATGTACTTTCACTCTTAGTTTTATTTCTATCACTGATGATTCACATGTGGCTTGTATTGGTAGAGAAATGGAAATCACGGTTTAATACATTCACAAATTATGAGAGATAACAGTATACTTGTACCTATCTAAGGTATAAATATCTTTTCTTTTGTGAACACTTGCGCTGCTTACAGAATGACAGCAGTCATTATAAATTGAACTCTATAAATCTATAAATTGTCATCCACACTTCTGTGGAAATAAACATTCCATTCACCTGGACTCTAGGAGACTCGAACCATGGATCCTATGTGTGTGAGGCCTTATTGACTGGGCTTATGAGCTTCAGCCTCACATGCGTGGGGTCCACATTTCGAGTCTTGAATGGGACAGCCCAGGTGAATGGGACAGCCTCTATTCTTGCAGAGTTAGTGTCCTATCCCAGATGGTCCAAACTGGATGTACACCATTCTTTCATTTTGTCCTCGTATCCCAGCTCTTGGCATGTCCTTATCTCCTCTCCAAGTGCTATATGGTCATATTTGCTTAGACATATTCTGCTGATGTTTACTTTTCATGGACACTAAATTCAGAGCAAAGCTCACATATTTCCTTCTGCCCGTTGTTCCTAGGAATGGTAGTCTTGGACAAGTGGAGGAGGGTATGCACTCCTCTCCCTGTGTCCATGTGCAACCGATGGTAATACATGAAGGGATGAGGTATTATAGAAATGTGATGTGCCAACCTGTCCTCTTACAAAGAATGTTGCATTTTACATAAGGCCAAATATTGTCACGCTTAAAAATGGAAGCGACTCGCAAAAATGACGTACTGTCCCGTTTTCTGTTTAGAGTCCTCTGATAGGTTAGGAGAAGACACTTTAATTTGACTGTTTTCTTGGCGGGAAACTTTAGGAGGACGGGCTGGATGTGAAGTGAAGTGGAGTGCTATAATATCATTAGCTCAACTTGGAGGATAACTTTGACGCCAATCCCATGCTATGATGTATGATCCATAGAGCATATAACCTCAGAAAGAAATTGTTAGTGTTAGAATTACAAGAGTAGGTATTATGGCTTGAATCACACCTCCCACAACTCTTGCCTACTGAATATACTTGTCTCTCATGAAGGGTAATGTCCTGGTCACAGGACCACAACACTTTAAAATGGAGTCAAAATCTGACCATTCCCATCCGTAACACAATATAACTAGTGTTGAGTCTCCATGTGCATCACTCAATTAGTGAAACTGTCACACTTGAACTGAACTTAATCTTGAGTTTTCTAATATTTCTTATCCCACTTCACCTTTTGTTTTTTTCTCTACATGACTTTGATCCCAGTTTATACATTTTTTGTGCATTATATTATCAAAATCTACGTTGTAGATTTCTCTACATGACATGATCCCAGTTTATACATTTTTTGTGCATTATATTATCATATTAATCTTAAACATTTTTCTTCCAACAGAATTTGGACCTGACCAAACATCGGCTAATATATGAGGGTCTATTAACATGGAGAATTGCGAAGGGTCAGAAAAATATCGATCTCTTGGTTTTGCTTCTGGATGAATTTATTGTCCTTTTACAAAAAGCAGATGATAAATACGTCCTCAAAAATCACTCCATTATCAAATCCCTTGGCAAAGATGATAACAAGTTAACTCACTCGCCTATTATTAAATACGGACCATCGATGCTCTTCAGGGCAGTAGCAACAGGTCAGTTGAAAAATAATTGTGCAGTTTTGTATACTTTTTATTTATGTAGAATTCTTTAAGTTTTCTGCTCTTTCATTTTCATACACTGCACCATTTCTTGAGCAGAAAGCATCCTTTGAAGCTTCCTGTAGCAACTGAAGCTTTGACTTCCAATGGAAAATACTGAGTGACCTCAGTTCCAATAGATATTCTCCAGTTTCAGTTTGTAGATGACCTGGAACCTCCTATCAGTTCTTCACACACAGTTCTTTGTCATTCTCCAAGTGTGTTCCTCCCTCTTCCTGCACAGCTCAGGAAGGGAAGCAATGTAGTGAATTGTTTTGTATAGATATTCAACAATAAGACATTGAATCCATATGAAAATCACATTTCTGAGGAGAATCATTTTGTTACTCTTGGTTAAGAATCCTCCTTTCCTCTGATCCTTTTCATCTTTCACTACCACCGGTAGTGGTAGTGAAAGGGAGGGAGGGAGGGAGCCAGTCGGCCGAGCGGACAGCACGTGCGACTTGTGATCCTGTGGTCCTGGGTTCGATCCCAGGCGCCGACGAGAAACAATGGGCAGAGTTTCTTTCACCCTATGCCCCTGTTACCTAGCAGTAAAATAGATACCTGGGTGTTAGTCAGCTGTCATGGGCTGCTTCCTGGGGGTGGAGGCCTGGTCGAGGACCAGGCCGCGGGGACACTAAAAAAGCCCCGAAATCATCTCAAGATAACCTCAAGATAACCACCACCCAGCACTAGTTACACAAGCCTCTACTCGTCAGCCTGCTACATTTGCAATTTATTATATCCGTCCTTGTTCATCAAACAATATTCTTGATATTGTGAGATATGTTGACCTGGAGATAACTTTCTCACTCACCCTCATGCAATAAAACCATTTCCAGCTTTTCTTTATTTTCTAACACTAAACCTTTCATTTGCTGCAATTTTTTTTTTTTTTTTAGTATTGTACTGTCCAGTCAAGTCAAGTGGTAGGTTACCCTTGTTCTTGTTAAGTATAAGAAAAAAGGTACTGTACTGTACAGGCACACCTCCAAAATCCGGCTTGTGTTGTTCCGGACCTAACCTAATGCACGGTGGTTTTCATAAGGCACCAGCTGTTTCTCTTAAAGTTAATGTTGAGTCTGTCTACAAAAATTGCTAAAAACATGATTGGGGCCGCTTTTCTAGTTACCATTTGTACCCAAATATTTTCCACACACTATTTGCAAATTTCATTGAGCAAAATTTAAATTTTATATTATATGATGGACTACTACCAGGAGAAGTAGTGACTATAGAGAGCCTGACTATAATAACATTTCTTCCTCATTTCCAGTACATTACTACTTCCAATCCCGCTCATTAAAGCTTATGACACCAAATGGACCAGGCCCATCAACTTTCCCATGCCCAAGAAATATTTTGGAAACTCATTCTAATAAATAATGAAAGTGATATGGTCTCATAGCCATTTTCAGAATACCATTTCCAGGAGGGCTTTCCTCAAAAGCCCTCCCAGATTTACCCAACCTGGCAACTCCAAACCTTATGCATCCCACCAGGTTCCTGCAAATCGGAAGCACCTACTGAAGGCCAGAAATAGAATCCAGTGCTCTCAGTAGGGAGCAAGGGCATCTGGGTGTACTAGATCAACCCTGCCCAAAAGGGAAAAACTAGTAGAAAGGTAGAGCACTCAAAAACAAGCAGTTTGGTGCTTGTTGAGAAACAACCAGTGCCATCGAGAAACGCTGGCAACCCTGGGAACTCTGAACATACTCGTTAACCAGTTCCAACTACTGTACTAGTTAGATATATTTCACCACAACCAAATGGCAGCCCCCAGCTAACTAGGACTCCAGCCAGCTGATCACCAGAGTCAAGTGTCTTGTGCATTTTCCGTTTGTTGCACATGCTTGGTTAGCCACACTTTCTAGACAGATGGATGTTGTGGGGAGTCTCTTATTAGCACTGCCTGTGACATCCTTCTACCAATATGGTTCCTTGTCTGCTTCCTTTCTTGGCCCTCTTGGGGACCTCCTGTCAGTTCTACTGTTATCTTAAGCCTTTATTTGGCATGTTCATGGGGGTTTTCTCCTCGGCCGGCCAGGAGTCTGGCTTTTCCAGTTGACCTGGTTATTTGGCATAATTCTGTTGTGGGCTCATGCTCACAGCAGAATTATGTTGTGAGTATGAGGCTCATGGTTGGTTGGTTCTTGCTTAGGGTCTTTAATTCTTGCATGTATGTACTCATTCCTTCGTTGTGCAGTTTTGCTATACTATTGCACCTTCTTGAGTTTTTGGGTTCTTGGTTGGAACTCAGTGGTTGTGTGGAGGCCAGGGTCTTGGGCCTGTTGGTTTGCCCATGGGGTGGTGTTTTGGCTCTGGGCTTGTCTAGTGCTGTATTGTCCTTTTTAGCTCTGTGGGGTTCTTTGGCTCTTTGTTGGCTTCAGGGGGCCTCTCTCTGCTTTGGAGTTAGGTTTTTGTACCCTTCATTTTTTTAGGGCTTCTCCAGGGGATTGCTTGGCTCCTCTTTGTCGAGCGTTCAGCAGGTTTGCCACACCATGACACATGCTGCAGCTTCCATGTCTTTCTCTGGGCTCCATGCTCTTCAGGTCTTGTTCTGCTTGCTCTATGGTGATATTATTATATATTTTTTTCTCTCTCTCTTTCTCGGTTCTGTCCCAATGCCCTGTGGTGGGTGTTTTCGTCTTGCACTTGGCTTTCCTCTGGTGGGCTTCTGTGCATTCACTTGGTCCTGGTGGCTTCTGTCCTCCGTGGCTCTGTTCCTGGCCTCCGTGTGAATTTGCTGTCTTCCCTCTCGTTTGGCTGCCACATAGGTGCTTTCAAGTTGGGACCATTTGCTGGCTGGTGGTTTTTCTGGGTCTTGGTCCATTGCCATGCTTGGGTTTGCTGGTCACACATTTTGCCACAGTAGAAGTGTGTATTTTTTGTTTCTTTTGCCTGTTCTTTTTTTATATTTAATACTTGTGTTTTTATGTGGATTTATTTTATTCGGCACTGCTTTTGTTCCTTTGGCCCTGGTAGACATTTTGGTTGTCTGCTGGGTCCTTATGTTTGGCCAAGTCTGTGGGCTGTCCTCAAGCTGGTGTTCTTTGGGTGTTCACGGCTTTGTCCGCTGTGCTTTCTGTTCTCCAAAGCTGTTCTCCTTTTCTTGGTGGTGAAACTAACAGTGAAATGACCTACCTGCTTAGTGTCTTATTTTCCTTTTATATACTTTTGTACTGCTGTTGCTCGTTTTCTCTCGCTTTAACTTTCTGGTGGCTATTTCCTCGGTTAGTGATGAAATATTTTCTGCTTTCTGTGACATTGTGAGGCGGACCTGGTTTGGGCCTCTGGTCTCGGGTGGACTTTTCATGGCTCACAAGAGCCTAGTGTGATTTGATAGGTGTGGAGCTATCCAGGATAGCTAGCAATAGGAAGCCATCTTGGACCCACCAGAAAGAGGCGTTTCATTACACTGAGTGCTAGATTTTCTGAGAAATTAAAAATTAGCGGGGGAGATCCAGCTGCTGAATTTGGTCTGTTGTTAAAAGGGATCTATTATAAGGTCTGAATTTGAGAGGTGCCACTGTACAGTACTGCATTCATTTGCCTATTTTCCTTTACATAAACTTTTAAAATGTTAAGTTTGATATTGGGAAGACAATAGTTTGTGTTCAGTGCAAGTTTATAGAGGGAATTCAAGTGAAAATGTGATACTGTTGCTGAGCTAAAACTGGAACTGCCACATTTTCTTTGTAATTCCCCTTGTACTGTGTTTAATATGTATTTTGTTATCAATCATTGCTAATGCATTTGATCTTTCCTCAACAGACAATTGTGCTTTCTTCATAGTCACAACCCAGTCAGTAGGAGCTCAGATCTATGAGCTTGTTACCTCATCACCCAGTGAGCGGAAAGTGTGAGTACAAAGTTTAATATTTTTTGGCACTTGTGTAGTGACATCTGTGATGGCATTGTGTTTACACAGGGGTGGATTCGGCTGGTTTTCCTGATTTGGCTATTAAAATTCTTAGAGTTCGCTGAACCAGTTTTTAATCCTTTCAGTTCGTTCATGATTTCTACTCGTAATGAATTTCTTTTATATAAAAACATGCAATAAAATTAATGTGTATATTTGCAAGCATCAACATTATTATTATATAAAAATTACTGTTCAGAAGGTAATTCTGTGGTAGATCATAGACCCCCTGAGAGATAGGTAGACCCTATCAAATGCTGGTGCATGCATACAGAGCATGTTTGTCTGGTTGATTTCTGTTTTCAGTACGTGTTTAAACACAATAGTGGTTGGTTGTGGTCCGTGTGCTTCACGTGCACCTGACCATTTTTATCAATTTTATTTGCTTCACATAAATATTGTTTAAATTGGTGTAAATGTTTTAGAGTACAATGCTCAGGAGAACCAGAGACTGAAGTGAGTGAGTGGAGTTGTACATGGAATATTAAATTCAACATAAACAAGTGTCTCATAATGGAATGTGCCACAGGTGAAAACAGGCCACACTGAACCTGCAAATTTTGTGGAAAGATGTTAGTGTCTGATAAGGAAGGAGGTCTAGGAGTGGTTCTGGATAGTAAACTGTCACCAGTAGACCATATAAAAGGCATTGTAAGAGGAGCCCACGCTATGCTAGCAAATTTCAGAATCATGTTTATGTATTTGGATAGAAAAATATTAAAGAAACTGTTCATAAAGAAACTGTTCCGCAGTTTGTGAGACCAAATTTTTAATATGCAGCAGCAGTGTGGTGCCTATATCTCAAGCAGTGCATGAACTGATTGGAAAGAATGCAAAGACATGCTACAAAATAATTCCCAAAATATAAGAACATAAGCTATGAGAATAAGCTGGAAACATTAAACATGACAAGGCTAGAAGATGGGAGGAAAGAGAGGCAAAATGATCACTACTTACAGGTTAGTAATAGCAATTGACAAAATAGGCAAAGGAATTTTTTTAACCTTCAACTTCAAGAACAAGAGGTCATAAGATTTAAGCTAAGGAAACAAAGATGCCAAAAATGTTTGAAAGTTCTCTTTTTCTAACAGAGTGGTAGACAATTGGAACAAGTTAAGCGAGGTGGTGGTGGATGCCAAACCACCAATAGTTTCAAAGCATCATATAATAGAGTAATAGGAAGATGGGATACTAGGAGTATAGCTCTCATCCCGTAACTACACTTAGGAAAAGGAAATTACACTTGGGTAATTACACACACACACACACACATACATATAGTATAGGATAGGAATTTGCAGCTGTTTCAGTTATTTATATCAATTTCCATATCTGAAGAAGCACATTAATAAACTGGAAAGTGTGCAAAGACATGCTCCTAAATGGCTTCCAGGACTGGGAAAAAAAAGAGCTACGAGGAGAGGCTAAAGATGTTTAATTTGCCAAAGCTGGAAAATAAAAGAAAGAAGCAACATAAATCACTATGTGCAAAATAGCAACAATCGACAAACTAGAGGAATTGTTGAAACTTGCAATTTCAAGAACAAAAGGCCATAGATTCAAGCTAAGGAAACAAATGTACCAAAAAATTTAAAGTTCTCTTTTACAAAATGGTAAATGACTACCAAAATATCTAGTCATAATTACTGTACCTCGTAATTAATAATAAATAAGATAATACTTCGTAAGCAAGTAATTTCAAAGCATCATACAAAACAGACAAGATAGCACTAGCATAGCTCACATCCTGTAACTACACTTAGATAATTATACAGTACTGTACAGTACTTAGATAATTGCACACATACGTTTATGCACATTCACACATACATTTATGCACATTCACACATGCATACATTCTCTCTTTTCTCTCAACCGATCCCCTTGGGCTGGACGGTAGATTGATGGTCTCGCTTTATGCAGGTTGGTATTCAATTCCCAAATAGTCAAAGTGGTTGCGCACCATTCCTATTTCCTGTCCTATCCCAACTCCTTACCCTGGCTATTTCCAAGTGCTATATATTCATAAGGGCTTGGCGCTCTCGGCTAATAGTTCCTGTCTCTCTTTCTCTCATTCTGTTTCATATTCCCTTTCGTAGAAAACTACCAGGCATATAAGCATGCACATGCATAAATGCGCACAGTCCGTGATGATCCATCCATGACCTCGTATTGTTGTTGTTATAAAGTCGGTGAGCGTGTGCATTATTACAACAATGGTGCAAACGGGATACAATATTATGAAATTTTTTGGCATACACACCTGCTGGAGTATACCTCAGTAATATTTAATTAAAAATGGCTGGTACAAAATATCTACTCCGATTATTCGTTTATCATAATGAATTGTATATTGCATGTACGGGTTACATTAGTGTTCTTTTGTGATTCTATTATATTTAATCCTTTTTTTAACTGCAATACTTTTCCATCCCTAAAGGGAAAGTATCCCTCCCTCCCATTAAAGTGAGACACTGGATGGAGATGATGATGATTAGTAACTATCACATATATGCTGCTTGTCTTATCAGTTGTGTACTGTGTGTATAATGATCGATGGGCATACAGAGCTCCTAAGAAACGCATCATAATTTAAAATTTTAAGTGAATAGGAATCGGTACCTAGACCTCCCTCCAAACACAATACAGAATATTGAAGATGCAAACATCTAAATTAATAATAGTTCACAGATTTTGTATGGGTTTCACTTATGGGGTAAGGCTTATTCCCTGTGATTTACAGCCTCAGGGGCTTTGCTTAGCCCCTTGGTTCTGGACACTAAATTCTCATGGGTGTAACTGACTTAGAATAACACCAGGCAAAAGTCCACACAGGTATGGTGTTGTAGCAATGTGAAGGTAATAATAATAATATGATGTTCAACAGCATCTTTGCCTTGAGGTGAAGATGCTGTTGAGGGAATAACAGTTATGTTGTGGAGATAACGAGATTATGTTACTGAGGTAACTGTGTTTGATGGTTTTGGTTAGGGAGTTTTTCTGTTTAGTTGGAATGATGGTGGTATATATTGTACTGTATATAGATGATGGCATTGTGTGGTGGTAATGATGTATGTTGTGGTGGTGGTGACAAAGTTGTGGTGAGATGTAATGAGGAGTAATTAGTATGGTGTGATATGTGGTTGGTGTGAAATTGTGAGACTCGTGTGTGCTGATAATGTTACCCCTTTCCACTTAATACCATAAGCATCTGTTACTTTTCTCTTTATTACCACGGGCACCTGTTACCCCTTGCACTTTATTACCACAGACACCTGTTCTCACAAAACTTGGTATTCATTTAATAAACCTTGGCTAGGTGGCACTAATTGCACTGTGAATGCGGCCACGTGTATAATGCGTGTCAATGGGAATGTGGCTACTAGTTTAGCATAAGTTCACGGAGGACATAGCCACTAGCATAAGTACACAGCATGTCCCACTTTTTGCGTTAGGAATCGCCATGTAATAGCAGAGATTTTTCATTTCATTTTTTTATTATGCACCCCATACCCATCCCGTGGGCGGTGGTGGAAAGGGTTACAGAGGCATATAATGGGTTCTGGAACTGAACCCCATAGTTCGTTTAGCTAAACAAGTGACAGTCTTGTGAAGCTAGTTATACAGTTAATATTACATACACATGTTCATACATATACAGTACATCCATGTACACAAATACATATCAATAATCGTTTTATATCACAAGTGATTCAACAAGAGGCTCACAAGTTTTTCTACAAGGCACTTTACATCTGGTGAGTCATGCAGTTACTAGTCTTGCACCACACCCATCTAACTGGGAAGCAGCTTTACAGTCATGTGCAGGCTGCACCTACAAGAAGCAAATTTTGAATACTTTGCTAAGATTCCTGACAGTACATCATTATGAATGAAGTACTGTACTTACACATTTCTTGGACACCATTGATGGTGTTCTCTGAATTCAGCTATTTCTCACATTCCGTTATATAATGACGCAAAATATGCGAATAATTCTGCTGATGACAGAATTTACATTTATTCAAATATACATCAGCAGATGTTGCAAAACTCTCAGAGGTACTTGTAGCCGAGCCTAAGCCTAGCAGTGGTAACACTAGGTCTGCTAACCTTATTGGATGACCCATAGATGTGCAGTTCTTCCTGCATAATAGAATGATAATAGATGGAGTAACTGGTGTGAATTTCACTTTGCCTCAAGTCTACAAGATTTTGCTGATGTTCTCGGAATATTACTGCCCTCAGTCTGCTCAAAGGCAGTCCCAAGATGGTAATCAATTCTCTCTTTATGCGCAAAGGTTTTAGCTAACTCATCAGTTCTATCATGCATTCTGAGTCCAATACGGGAAGAAACCCCACAGGAGATGAACTCTGACTCCATCATTGACTATTTCATTATATCTGTGTGTAGCTTGAGCAGAGAGGAAGGCTTAGGAAGCGAATGGGGTTGTTTACAAGGAAATATCACATGACCTATGGGGCGGTCAGGAAGTAATGACGTAGAGAACAGTAGGCATCTGTGAATGCCAGGTTGGCGAATTCATATTCTGGAAACAGTGAGGGCTTTGTTGATATGTAGACTAAATAGTGTACAGTATAGCTGTGGAGGAGGAGGGAGTAAGGGATAAGGTGGAGGTAAGGGAAGTGGTGGTGGTTAGTGAGGTGGGGGGGGGGGGGTGATAACAGTATGTTAGGGTGTAACTATTGCTGGGTGGGGGGGGGTAGCGTCGTCACGGTCTCTCAGGCTTAAGTGCGCGCGCCTGGCTGATCATGCTAACTACCACCGAGTTATAAAGAGCGTATGACTCAACTTCTTTGCTGTGGTAATAAATTATGTAGGTGTGTGGTGGAACACAAGAGCGTGGGGGATGGGGGTGGGGGGGGGGGGTTACATCAGTGGTGAGATGGTGTTTTGACTGTACAAGTAACTGGTTGAC